GCTGCAACTGCTGTTGGATGATTTTCAGCAAAACTTTACTTGCATGTGCTATCAGTGACATTGTTGTATAATTTGAGCAAATTATACCTTTCTTTGGAATGGGTACAAATATGGAACTCTTCCAGCTAGTTGGCTGTGGTAGTTATATAATTGTCGATTTGAGAGGATTATGAGTGAAGGGGCAGAGTCTAGTCTGTCAATTGGATCATAGCCAATGAGGCTTCTGTGTGGGCATGGCCTTTTGAGAATTCTGGGAACTGTGGTATTTCTTCTTTGGAGGTAGGAGAGATGCTGTGCTCACACCGTGGGAGACAGAGCAGCTGACAAAACACATAGACCCACCCTGATGCAGAGACCCCTGCCAGCACGGAGATGTTTCCAGTGACACTGGATCCAAGGACTTTCTACCCACTGGCCTGTGATCTTCTACATTCAGCATCAGTACATGTGTTTCTTGAGTCTGAAGAGGACTTTATAGATTGGTATCAGACATATGGGCTAGTATCGGACTTATGGACTTGATCTGGACTGGGCTGGGATGTTTTGTCAATGTTCAATCGTTCTTGTATATAAATCTCTTTCTTATACACATATTTGTGTCCATGGATTTGTTTCCCTAGTCTACCCAGACTAGCGCTTTGGCCAAGTAGCAGTCTTCCAGTTTTCTAAGCATAGACAAATAAGTGCTTCCAGTGCTTCATTGAGCTTGTTGAAATATTTCAATGGGTACTCCATCATTCATGGAGCTTTGTTTTTGGCTATTGCTTTAAGTGAAGCTTGAACTTACTCCTTCAGCTGCCTCCTAAAATGGTGGAATGTTGACTAGTTCTTTTTTGCAGTGTGACTGTAGTCGTTCTATCTTCTTTTGGTGCTTCCTGCAATGTTCCAAAGTTTGCCCAATGAATCTCTCAACTCTTTCAATGTTGAAACTTGAGGCTGTGGTTTTTTCTTGAGTTCTTTCTGTTTAGGACATGCTGAGAGTGTTCTTCCCTTTTGGTTTTCTTCTTTTTAAAAACTCATTTTATTGGGGGCTCTTACAGCTCTTAGCATTCCATACATCCATGCTGTCAAGCACGTTTGTACATACATTGCCATCAATCTTTGCAAAACATTTTCTACTTGAGCCCTTGGTATCAGTCCCTCATTTTTTCCTATCCTCCTACCTTCATGAACCCTTGCTAAGTTATAAAATTATTATTATTTTCATGTCTTATACTGTACGCTGTCTCCCTTCACTCATGTTTCTGTTTGTCATCCTGGGTTGGGGGAAGGTGTGCTACTACTTCGATCATTGCAGTCAGTTCCCACTTTCTACCTCCACTTTCCCCCTACCCTCATGGTGTTGCTACTCCTATTATTGTTCCTGAGGGGTTTATCTGTCTTGAATTCTGTGTATCTTATTTGTACCAGTGTACATACTCTGATTTGTAATATAGAACTGGGGTCATGATAGTGTGGGGAGGAAGAGTTAAAGAACTAGAAGAATGTTGTATGTTTCATTGTGCTATACTGCCCTTTGGCTGGCTGGCCCCTTCCTTGTGACCCTTCTGTGAGGGGATGTCCAGTTGTCTACAGATGGGCGTTGGGTCTCCACTCCGCACCCCACCCCCTCCTTCACATCAATATGATAGTTTGTTTTGGATCTTCTGATGCCTGATACCTGATCACACAGGCTGCTGTACTTCTCCTATGTGGGCATTGTTGCTTCCCAGCTAGATGGTCGCTTGTTTTATCTTCAAGCCTTTAAGACTCCAGATGCTATATCTTTTTTTTTTCTTCTTTTTTTTTTGAGGTCCCTGTCTGCTGGACGAAAGCCGCAGATGCTCTATCTTTTAATGGCCCAGCACAATCAGGTTTCTTAACCACATTTCCTTATGCACTCATTTTGTCTTCAGTGATCGAGTCGGAAGATGAGCATCACAGAATGCCAGGTTCTTAGAACAAAGTGTTCTTGCATTGAGGGAGGACTTGAGTAGAGGCTCAATGTCCATCTGCTACCTTGATACTTAACCTATAAATATTTGTACATAAATTTATGCCCCTATCATTTTACATAAGTATATTTACATATGTACATGGCTGTATTTATACCTCTATAAATGCCCTTTACCTCCTAGTTCTTTTCCCTATTTCCTTTTACTTTCCTCTTGTCCCACTATCATGTTTGACCATCATTGAGCTTTCAGTAATTGCGCTTGGCTGCAATGCACTTGATCAAGCCCCACCAGGCATTCTCTACCCTTCTTGCCATTGATTTTAGATCACTTGTTGTTCCCTTGTCCCTGGGTTTGTTGGCCCCCTCCTACCTTTCCCCCACCTTCCCCTCTTCCATGTCATCCCCCTGTCCTGTCCCACCCCCAACCATCAGTCCTATTGTTTTCTCCTTGGGATTGTTTATCCTGCCTATCTTATATAGATAGGCATTAAAAAAATAAAACCCTATAAATAGTTCTAGGTCTTCTGCTGACCTTGATGACTGTTTTCCAATGAGTCTGATGAGGTGCCAAAGCCCTGCTCTCGAAGTCTATTTTGGGGATTCCTTGGGGACTTCATTGCTTTGCACCCCTTGCTGCTCTCCCTTCGTGTTTTACCCTGGTGTGGGGGGTCAGACTGGGCACAGTTCCCACACTGTGTCTCCATTGTTGCGTGCCCCCCTGTAGCGCCATGGGTCAGCAAGGCGACGCCGTGTCTCATGGTGGTGCTGGCCCAACTGTCCTCTGTGCATTGTCTGTTTCAAGCAGGAATATCATCCTAGGGGCTTGGTGAGCCAGGATGCGGTCCCCCACCCCGCTCATTCCCTCTTAGTTTGCTCCAGAGTGTTCTGAGCAGACCTGCCCCGCCGCTCCCTGAGCTGTGTCTTCAGCAGGGCTGTCCTCTATAGTGCATTTTTCTAATCCTACGTCTTTGCACATTTCGCTCTAATATTTACCGCTGTCTTCTCTAGCTGCCCTTTGAAATTTTCTATTTAGCTCTTTGACTTTATCTTTTTTTCCATTTGCATTCGCTACTTTGATTAAGAACAAGTTTCAGAGTCTGTTCTGACAACCAGTTGGATCTTTTCTTTCTTTCCTGTCTTTTAAATGACCTTTGCTTTCTTTATGAAGGGTAGTCTTGGTGTTCTGCTCATCAGGTCTTCTGTCGCTAGTACACAAGACGTCTGATCAGTTCTTGAGTTGTTCTCAAAGTTCAGGTGGGATGAACTCAAGACCTTATTTTGGCTCTCATGGACTTGTTTTAATTTTCTTTTGCTTTACCCTGAACTTACATACGAGCAGTTGATGGTCTGTTCCATAGTCAGCCCTTTCCCTGGTTTTAGCTGCTCCATCATCTCTTTTCACAGATGTGTAATCAATTTGATTTCTGTGTATTCCATTTGGAGATGCCTTTTGTGTTGTTGAAGAAAAGTGTTTGCTATGAGAAAATGGTTGGTTTTGCAAAATCCTATCATGTGATCTCCAGCTTGATTTCCATTACCACGTCCATATTTTCCAACTACTAGTCCTCCATCTTTGTTTCTAACATTTGCATTCCAATCACCAATACTTACCAGTGGATCTTAATCGTGTGTTTGATCAAGTTCCCACTGAAGTAATTAGAATTCTCCAATTTATTCATCACTAGCTTTTGTGGTTGGTGCATAAATTTGAGTAATAGTTGTATTGATTGGATTTTCTTGAAGGTGAATAGATGCGATCATTGTACTTCATGATTGATTTTACAGTGTCTGTTTTGGCAGTGAATACAATTCCATTTTACTTGTTTGTGTTTTCCTGGCGTAGTAAATCATGATTTTCTGATTCAAAATGGCTAATATCAGTCCATTTTAGCTTACTAGTGCCCAGTATATTGATCTTTATGCCTTATATTTCATTTGATCACTTCCAGTTTTCCTAGGTTCATTCAGTGTTTTGCGCATTAGCATATTTTTGCAGCTGTTTCTCCTATCCTTGAGTCATCCCCCATCAGCAAATGATGATCCCGATGGCTCCACTCTCGGGCTTTTCCAGACTCCCATCACCACGGAGGACTCCCCTGCAAGAGAGCAACGCCTCTGAAGTCACAGTTTGAGTGCCCTCAAACCCGAGGAGCCCCTCCTGGCACTGTCTCTCACCATGTCCTGCTTCTATTCATGAGGTCTTCCGTATGTGACAATGCTTCGAAGCTGTGCATAAGTTTTTTGGAAGTTGTTTCATCGTAAGTGGGCAGCTGATTCCTTCTTCATTGTCTGGCTTAGTCTGGAAGCTCAGCTGAAACCTGTTCACTTTGGGTGAGTGATCCTGCTGTCATTTGAAGAACTGGTGACATAGCTTTCAGCATCACAGCAACACACCAGCCCCCACAGTATGACAAACCGAGGGACAGTTGGTGGGCCTTCAATTAGACCTGGGATATTAAGGAGACTGAATGGTGTTTCATGGATTCATCTTAATATAGCTGTACTTGGTCCGATAGCAAACTGTTGATTTCCCTCTCAGACTGGTTTTCTTGTTCACTTGTTTATCTTGCTCTTCCCCTTTTCTTACTACTTTCTCCCCCAACCCTTACTACTTGCATTTTAAATTTATTGATATTGTAAAGGTTCAGACATTGCACATGTAGTTAAAAAGGAAAAGTTCTCTCTTTTTTCCACCCCACCCATGTTCCCCAGGGTCACTCTGTTTCCGTTTCACGTTCTCTCTGCGGACTGAGTCTTATTACACTCTCTTGGTTCTACTTGAGGTCGTTTCCATTTGATGTTTCCTATAGGTCCTAATACTTTTTGCTGAATGAGTGAGTGGATGAAAATTGTGAATATGTTCCCAATCCTCATGTGACCCAGCCTACTAGTATTTTGAAGCTTAGCTTTAAGACATGGCCTCGGCGCTACTTTTGAAGTCAGCGTTCTTTCCCCCAAATCCCTGAGCCCATCATTTTTACATCATAAGCTTTGGCATGTTCATCTTTGAAATGTTTTTCTGTCAGGTGAAAATATGTCTTTATGCTAAAAGAGTGATGGAAGTTTCTTTTGTCTTTCAGCTACTTTTGCAGCAGTGTTGCACTGGTAAGTCTGTTTTTCCTCATGGTAGCTGTTTATTCAGATGCTTATAACCGAATAAAGCTAGTTCCTATGTATTTAGAGGAATGATTTCAGTATGCGAATAATGATGAATTCATGTGTGTATTACATGTGACACAATAGCCTGTAAGGATAACTTAATTGATAAGTCAGGGTCAGAATAATATAACTTTTTAATAAAAAAGAGATTCATTATTAAAGAGGCTATTTTTGAGATGGTACTTCATTTAACATTAATATAGTCTTCATGTTGAGAAGATTAATTTTTTTAATCTTCTGGGTAGGGAGAAATATGAATTTCATTAATCAGATATTTCTGAAATGGTAACTCAGTGACATTTACAGCTTCATATACAATTTTATTACACACATTTTACTTAGAATATCATTATTCCAGTTCGTTTTAATTTTAAAATCTAATTTAAATGTGCTTTCTTATAGAGAGAAATCTTAGGAAAAATATAAGACTGAGCAGAAAACAAAGATGGATACCATTGTATTCGAATGTTATTAAAAATTACCTCCAAAATTATCATTTTAGCTTTGCCATTAGCACTTCTTTTAGTAACATTACAGTGTATAAGCTTCAACACTGTTGCTTTATTATTTTGTTTTTGCAGGAGCCACATAACACACCTCTTTGAAAATGATCGTCATTTTTCTCACCTCTCAACATTGGAAAGGGAGATGGCCTTTCGCACTGAGATGGTTAGTTTTTCTGGTGGTACTTTGGAAGTTTAAACATTTAAAAATTTTTCTATGGAAAATTTTAGAAGTAAAAAAAGTAGATACCTCCTCTCCCCCTGAATATCCCAGATGTCCACATTTGATACTTGACAGTATGTGGCCATTTTGCTTTCATCTGCACCCACTTCCCTAATGCTTAGTAAAGGGAACTTCAGACATCCCAGCATTTCATCTGTAAATACTTAAACTGTGAATCTGAAAGGACATAGCTCTCTCTCTCTTAACCATTTACCTTTGCCCCACTTAAAATAGTTAGCAATTTCTTATTAACATCAAAATCAGTGTTTAAATGATTGATTGACTTTTTGGGGGAGTACTTTTGGTATGCTTGAACTGATGTCCAAAAAACATCTGCACAGTGCATTTGATGGATGTATATTTCAATTTGTTTAATCTATAAGTGCCTTTTCCTCCCCTTTTCAAAAGTTGTCTTGTTTTCTTTGCCTTGTATTTGTTGAGGAATTGAGGCCATTTATCCTGCACAGTGACCAGTCTCCACTGGGCTGACTGTACCCCTGTCGTGATGTTCAGCATGTTCCTCTGTTCCATGTTTCCTGGAAATTAATTAATGATAAGCTGCAGGTTTGAGCTGATGCTGGGCACTAGCTGTCTCATTCCTTTATGCTATTTAGATTTGATCAGTGGCTTTCAGTGTCCAAATGCTGATCTCCCACATTACAGCCTGGGCACCAGACTAGGTCATTAGGGTTGCCACTCACAATCCGATAGGTTGTCTAGTTTTCATTCTCCTCCACCCATCCCTTAAATCAACCAAAATTCTTCTGTAACGAAGAACTTTTCCATAATGCCTATTTGTGTCTCTGAGGCACGCTTCACCTGAGTAAGGCAGGGAGATGCTTGATTTTTTAATTTACCTGTTTTCAGGAAAATGTAGCCTCTTCCAGTGGTAATGAATGGACATTTTTCTCTTTGAGTATCATCATGAACTGTTCTTGTTTTGTAAATAGTCTTGTCTTTAGCAGTTGATTCATTTGAAGTAGCCTCTCCGGTATTCCATACCATACTTTCTGGCACCCCAAGGCTTGTGCATATCCTTCTCAGACTTGAAATCAGCCAGTTTTCCTAGGAGGTTGATTCATTTCAGGGGCAGGTGTTATTTAGAGACTGTAAGGTTGGTGCTAGAGATGCTCATTGTTACTGGATTGGCCTTTGTTTTCTAGACTGTTTAGGGAATTATGGAACACACCATTTAAAAAAAATTGAATGTAAATTATGAATTTATATTCATACTTTAAAATGTAAATTTGACCTATGCATTGATGTTATGCTTAGGATTAATATATAATTATATATAATTAAATTTGACATTATATTTGTCTCTTTTTCTCTTAGCCTGAAAATCTTGGTTTCAAATTACGTATTTGCTAGGAACTGTAGTACCCAAGTATTTTAGAAATAAATAATATTACTGAAAACATTCACAGAAATTCCTGAAGTTCTTTTGGGCTATGAGGCATATTCCTCTAGGCATATACAGTAATGCCACTGATCTTAAAGTTAACTGAAACCTTCATGTGGTTAAATTCCCAAGTTGATACATAGTTAGATTTCTTTATTTAATTTTTCTTTAGACATTCAGGCATTTAAAACTGCTGTATAATAAAGTGAAGTATAATTTTGAAGTCAAACCGACAAAACAAGATAGGGAATCAACTTTTAAAATAGTGCTGTGAGAACTGTTTTGTTTTCACTTTTAATACACGTAAGGGTAGACAAGTCATAGACTTCCCTGTGTGACCTTTACTGAGCAGCTCTAGGTAACATTAGGAGAAGATGCAGCTCATGTCCCGTGTGTGCTTGCCTTGGCCGCTCCCCCCCCCCCCACTTCTATTATGGCCAATTATACTCTCTCCAAGGTTTCCAGTACTTCCTTGTTTTTCCGTCCCCTGCACCTTTTCAAAGTAGCAAGTCTAATAACAAGTGACACGGTTCTCACAAAACAGGACCACCACCACTGTTTCCCATTCTTGACTCCATAGTCTCCATCCCAGAGGGTTCTTAACTCTAGCTAAAATGACAGTAAGTAAAATGGACTGTAAAGTTTGTGGGTTTCACAGTGTAACTGACATGTAATTCATCATTGTGTAGCCTTCCCAACACACCCCAGCATACCGGTAGGTTCTTTTTTTAGCCTGTGAGTCTGGAGCACAGATGACTGATAGAACTGTTTGGGCTGGTAGTACTGATAGTTCAAATAAGGAGTTATAGGGAAGCATTTTGGGCTTGAGAAGGTATCTTTGCTCATGTTAAATTTAAATTCCATATTAAATTTACACTTACACATCCTGTTCAGAAGTTAGCCACTTCTAACTATTTATGTTAGTATGGGTTATAAGATTCTCTTAGATCAAACTTGCTTCCTTATTTTAATGACTAAAATGTGTTTTAAAGCAGTTTTGAGTTTGTTTCATTTAAAACAAGATTATACTCAAACATGTAGGTTTTTTACACCCTAAGAATTTATCAGTGGTCGGGAACCTGTGAAATTAATAATAGCTATTACTTGCATGATTGGTTTATTTTTCTACAACTGTGTATTTTAAATTTTTTTCTTTTGTAAGCTAGGAAGTGATGCTATACTTTTTATTATAACTGGATTACATGCTTGTTTCAGGGACTGTATTATTCCTACTTCAAGACCATTGTGGAGGCGCCCTCATTTTTGAATGGTGTTTGGATGATTATGAACGATAAGCTTACTGAATACCCCCTTGTCATTAATACATTAAAACGGTTCAATCTTTATCCCGAGGTGAGTTGCTTTTTCAAGTGAGTAAGTTGATTTTTTTCCCTTTTTTAAAAACTGTACATATAATCCATTACGTTTATTTTAAATCTCAGATATCACTTAAGATGCCAAATTTTATTGTTATTTCATTTTAAAAGAAAATATATATCTTTTCTTGGGAAAGGAAAGGGAGAAGATTTTAGAGATTTTGACTCTGGGAGCTATTGCTGTGATTTGAGAAATTATGAAAACTGCCTAGAATTAGTGAGCCTTTAGGAATTCTAATAGGGAAGCACCAATGATTTTTACACAGAATTTGCCAAATACTGTTTCTTCCCTACCTGGGACACATCAATTGAGTTCACTTTCTTGAAGCTGGTTGCAAGAGGATTGGAGGTGGACCCAAGAAGACATTATTAGATGTTACCTATCATCCCTCCATTCGACTCACTCCTCTGCATTTTCTAGGGCCTCACACATGGGGCTGCCATTGGTTGGAATTGACACAGCACCTGGTACAGGTAGCTTAGATGTGACTGTCAATTTGACTTAATAGAGGATGTTCTCCTGTTCGACACCCTCCTTGGATAGGGGGTATGACCTTGAATGTGGTCACACCAGTTTCCAGAGAGGGACTCAGCCAAAACCTGCCGGACAGTAAACATTCTGGGGTTGGAATTAGTGCCTCCTCCTAAAGAGGGGTCCGAGTGTCACACCATCCCCTCCACTACAGTTATGCTGATCTGCCTTTCAATCCCTGTGTTCCTAGTATGAGATTGTTCTGATGAACATAAAGACATTTTAGTTCTTGTCAGTGATTCCCTTCAATTGTTAGCCTTTTCTTCTAAATTTCAGACACTTGAGGTTTTTATTGGAATTGTTTTATGATTAGAAAGTACTTGAGGGAGAATTCACTTCAAAGGAGATATTAAAGTCTCTGGGTGGTCCATTCTAGACCACTAGTCAGTCCAAGGGACAAAGATGATGAGGCTTTCTGTTCCTGTAAACAGTCCTGGTCTCAGAAATCCACAGGGGCACTTATTCTCTGTTCTATAGAATTGCTCTGAATCAATCGACTCATAGCAGTGAGTTTGAAAGTTCTTTTGAGTAGCCCCAAAGTGTTCGATTACTAAGAGCAGGGTCTGGGAAAGTGGAGGCTATCTGCGCCTATAAAAATTTACAGTCCCTGGAAATACTGCAGAGGGTCGCTGAGTCTGTATCAGTTTGATAGCTGTGTATATTTGGGTTTAATAGCCTCCAAAGGCCTGGCAATTTGTTCCCATAAAGATTATAGTCTGGGGAACCCTTTGGGGTAGTTCTACTTTGTCATATAGGTTCACTGTGAGTCAGAAGCAATTCTTTGGTAACAAGAACAGTAGTAATACTCCAAAAGGCTGGCAGTTCTAACCCATCCTGTGGGGCTGGGGAAGAAAGGCCTGATGATCTCCTTTCATAAAGACCACAGCCAGTGGAGCACCCTGTGGAGGAGTCTATTTTGTAACACAGGGTTTCTATGATTGTCGTGGACTTGAGCGCTATGAGCTTAAATCTTCTTGTATGTCTCTTCATAAGCATTCCATAGCTTTTAAAAAACATTAATATTCCATGTTTATGACCAGTTGAAGATTGGCTAGTCAAGAGTGACCAGAATCTAGGTAGGGGAGTTTGAGGGTTCTTTTACTGAATTTACAGGGAGTCAGGTCTGTGGTCCAGGAAGGGAAAAATTTAAGACCTAATTTGTAACAGAAGTTTAGGAATCATATCTCTATCTTTTCTTTTTTTAATAGGTAATCTTAGCCAGCTGGTACCGGATATATACAAAAGTAATGGACTTGATGGGTATGCAAAGCAAGATATGCTGGACGGTTACAAGAGGGGAAGGGCTCAGTCCTATTGAAAGCTGCGAAGGCAAGGTCCTTTCTCTGATCCTGCCCTGTTACCCATTGTAGCAGTCGTAGTGAAATAGAACCCAATTATAATGATATAGACAGTAGTGATTTTATGTTCATGGGTTTCCCGAGTCAGGAATTTGGATAGGACACAGCGATGTGAGTGCTATGAGCAGCTCTGCTATTTCAGCTTGAGTATCAGGGCCGAGTAAAATTAACTAGAACTCTTCACTCACATCTGGCTTCTGAGCTGGCATGATGACTGTAAGTTTTCCCTACTTCCCTACATGTGACCTTCCTATGTGACTTGCACTTTCATAACATGGTACCCAAGGATACTCAGGCTTTTCACAGAGCAGCTTAGGTCTGTAAGAGTGCATGTGCCGGTGACCAAGCTGGAAACTTCATGGCCTTTTAGGACCTAGGCCTAGAGGCCACATTGTATCACTGCTACCACATCCTGTTGAAGCAGTCTTCAACCTGGCCATATTCAAAGGCAGGGAACATAGGCTCCACATCTCTACTGGCCAAGTGCCATTTAATTTGTAGCTTTGTTTTCAAAGCAAGTATCTTATCTAGGTTCTGCAAGTAGTGTTGCAAACTCTTTTTCAAAATAGGCACATTTTAATAAAGATCGCTAGACAAAATGAATTTATTGTTGGTAATTTATGTTTTGTTTATTTTTAAAGGATTAGGAGATCCTGCTTGCTTTTATGTGGCTGTGATTTTTATTTTAAATGGACTAATGATGGCATTATTCTTCATATATGGCACATACTTAAGGTAAGACATTAGCATAGGTTTACAGTTATAGGATGGCATTATGTAGTAAAAGTAGTGAGATAATCATAGATATAGTTGTTTTGTTTTACAGCAGTCATTCCTAAAATTAGCTACTTCTGGGTATAAAATTATTACTTACTTGAATAATTTCATTATTGGCATTGCCAACCAGATCTAAAAATAATTGAAAAGCTTAGATAGAGCATGGTAAAGCTACTTCATTAAAGAATCATAGATATTTGAGCATAAGCAATCTGTACTGTTTACATAAAATATGAAGGAACAGTCCACCCATTATAAAGCAGTGTTAATAGCTTTTGCGTTCCAAATGTTAAAAACGCCAAGCAGCTCTCTGTGTCCATGGGTTCTGCATTCATGGAATCATCTAACTGCGAGTTGACATTTTTTTTCTTTTAATTCCCGAAAATAAAACTTGAATTTACCCAGCACTGAGCACAGGGAACAAAGAGATGTGTAGGCAGACCCTGCTGTAGCCCCCCATTTCTGTCAGTGACTTTTGTAATGGAGATAATTTGATTTTTAAAAATCTATTACAGTATTCAGTGATATTTGCTTGTAATGCTGCTGTGTAACCTTTTCTTCAGAAGCCAAAAGGTAGAATATCTGCCGAAGAGGCTCTGAGGTTCTAGGTGTAGTTTCTCTCTCCAGCACCCCTCCTCTGGGCATTGCTTGCCTCCCTTCCTTCTAGTTCATCCCCTCCTGGTGTAGGTGCATCCTTTGTTTCTGTGAAAAAATGGCTCCTACAGAGCAGTGAGATGGTCAAAGCTGTCCCACAGAAGCTGAGAGAGGGAGAGAGCGAGAGCATACAGTGCTATTTGCATAGCATTTACATTATATTAGGTATTATAAGTAATCCAGAGATGATTTAAAGTTTACAGGAGGATGTGCTTAGGTTATATGCAAATATACCATTGTAGATAAGGGACTTGAGCATCCATGGATTTTGGTATCCCCGGGGTCAAGGAAGTAATCCCCCATAGGTACTGAGGAATGACTGTATTCTACACAGACGTGATATCTGGTTGATGTAGCTCACTGCTGAGCCATATTAGCAAAAGGACCAGCAAATTAACTAATGGTTTTGCGTCTCTTTTCATCCTCCTCCTTGGAGTTTTTCACACTGTATACTTTTTTGGGCTATTTTACCTTTTCTTCTTTGCTGCTAGCTGATTTTTTTGTGATACAGTATTCTGAGCATATATGTACAGTTTTCCATTTCATATAAAGAGCTTGGCTCTGTTACTACTCAATTATGTTTGGTGCTTTGCAAGTGTAGTATTTTTCATTTAGTGCCTCAAAGTCCAATTGAGTTCCTAGCTCAGTGTTTGACTACAGAGCAGCTGTTTGATAAATGTTTATTAGCTGAGGAAGCTGTTAAAAGGTCGATCTAAATTATATTTGCATATAGAGTTAAAGCCTTTTGATGTTAATACTCTTGACTTAGTTAAAAGAACTGTCATAGAGCTATCTAATTGGAGGAGGTTGAAATGAAAATTCGGGATTGAAAGATGAACTTCAAGATTTTCTCTTAGAAACAAGACATGTGGTAATCACTTAACCAAAGGATTGTGGTCCTCTGGAAAGAAATGTGACTTGAGGAAAAGCAGCCAGGGACCCAGCGTTACACTTGGTGATCAAAGATCGAGAAGCTTGGTGGGATATATTCCCTTTGCTGAGTATTGCCTGTCTGGTTTATGCATAGCTTTATCTGATTTGAGAGAATAGAGTTTTAAGAGAAGTTAAAATAGGAAGCATGGCTTTATTGCTAATTTTCTATCTACATTTAGTACACTTTTGTAATGGAAAGAATTCAATTTAAAAAAATCGATTAAACTATTCTATAATGTTTTCTTCTAAAGCTGCTATGTAACCATTTCTTCAGAGGCTAAAAGATAATATCTGCTGAAGAGACTTCGAGGTTCTAGTTTGGGTAAGATGACTCTTGGTAGTTGGGGCCCTGACCTAAAATTTCTGACTCTTCAACCTCAGCAGTGCCGCATAGGCAGCTCCAACCTGGAAGATACATTCTTAGTCAATGCATAATGTGATTTCCCTTATAAAGCTGTGTGCTTGGTTCTGAGAGTTGGACAGTGTGAGAGATGGAGCAGTGGTGGTCGTGTGTGCTAGAGAGAGCAGCAACAAAGTGCTTAGGTTTCTGGAGGCCAGAGAAGATTGTTCTATGATGGAATTGTTTGATTGGTGGGGAAAAAAAACCGGTGGAAAAAGTGATGCTTGTTTGGTGTACTTTGGACATGCTATCTGGATCAGCTAGACCCTGGAGAAGGACTTCACACTTAGTAGAAGGTCAGCAAAAAAGAAGACCACCTTCAATGGGATGGATTGACACAGTGGCTAGCTACAGCAAACAGCTCAAGCATAATAATTGTGAAGATGGGGCAGGGCTAGGCTGTGTTTCCTTCTGTTGCACATAGGGTCACTCTGAGTCAGAACCGACTGGACAGACTTAACAACAGCCGGGTGGGAATGTAAACAAGGGGCAACCAGCAGGTCAGTTTTACTGGGATGCAGGCTTTGAGGAGGTGTTCAGAGGATTGAGGTGGATGATTAAAGACTTTCATGACAGGCTGATTTGAACTCTATTCTGAAACAAGTGAGAGACATCAGAACTGTGTCTGGTGAGTCCGGAGTTGAGCTGAGCTTTGACCTAAGGGAACTCTCCAATGTGGTACATTAGAGGGTTCAAAATCAAGTTGTTTGGGTCCAGCATTTTTCTTAATAGGGTACAAATCAGAAGGTGGTAATAGAGTGCACTGTGCTTAATAAGGACAGGCATTATTTAGAGAAACTTCTGGTGGTTTTATATATTTGTATGCATGAATGTGTGCCAACTTGAAGTGTAAATTCTATTTTTTTTACTGTGCTCTGATTAAAAACAATCTGTAAGTCACTAGAGTATTATGAGGGACCAACTTTGCTCCGAGTATTCAGGTCTTTTCAAATAGCTGTTTCTAACTCTCTTAAGCTCTCAGGGATACAGCTTGTCTCAGTTCTGCCCACTTTACTGCCCTGTGCCTTGTGCCCTTTGATGCAGCTCAACTCCAGTGTGAATTCTTGACTTTGAGACTCCTTGTGACCGAGGTGAAACTGCCCCATAGGCATCAGAAAGGGGGCCGGTGGAGGTTTCTAGTTGTAATCTTTACAGGAATACATTGCCATTTCTCCCAGAGAGCTCTGGGTGGGTTCAAGCTGCCAGTCTTTCTGTTAGCAGCCGAGTGCTTAATCCGTGTGCTACCAGGACTCTCCAGAAACTCAGAGTGGCACGCTTTCAGTTCTCTAACTTCCCCTGGCTGTGCCTTTGGACGGTTCCTTTACTTTGAATGGTCTCTTCAAAACCAATCCCAATTAGTGATGTCAGCATCAGCCGTCCAAGACCAATTTTCTATGAGGCAGAGAGGGCAGACATGCCTCCAACCTTACCAATTCTGACACCAGCTGTTGCAGTCACCACACGGAACTCACAGAACATGAACATGCTCCTGTGGAATTTTACACTTTAGTAAACACTCAAGTTTAATGTCTGTTCTCTACCCCTGGACTGACTCCATTTATATGCATATGGTCTTGGTCCCCTGGCAGGGTAGATCCAGTAGGCCAGGGCCCCAATCAATCATCCATTGCTTAACTAGCCTTGCTTTTGTCCCAGGCCTGTTCAGAAGCATCTTTTCTCCCCTCCACAATAGCATATAATTTCTAACCTTCCCTTTAGCTATTACTAGTAACAACCAAAGCAATTATCTAAGAATCAAGAGTTTTACTCCTTATGCCTTTTTGTTCTTCTCACAAAGTCCCACCCTTCTCTGAGACTGGAGTCACCGTAGTGAGCCCTCCTGTCAACTAAAAACAAAACAAAAATGTCATCTGGCTAGAGGGAAGGGAAACCATCCTCAGCTGGCCAAGGCCAAGCCCTATTGTCACACGTACCTCCACCTTCCAGCCTTCTCACCAACTGTGCCACCAGTGGTTGTGCCCACAGCACTCATCCTCTTAGCTGGATTTAATAATTCATTGCAATAGCCACATAGATCTAACACATTGAACATGCTCACAGTCGGGATTATTTAGGGAATTTAGCAGATTACAATTTAGGATAAAAATGCTCAAGATACATTTAATTTGGCCAGAGCAGGCTCTTCTCAACCATGCTCAGAGAAGTCTTCCCTCTGGCTCGTGGTCTCTCAGCCACATGATGCCCTTGGCTAGGTCCTGCTGAACCAGTGTTACAAAGCTCCTTTTGCTCTCCTGATAAAGGCACAAAGAGCACGCCATTCAACCATAAGCTCCAAGAGTCAGGAAACCTAGCTCTCCTAAGACCCTAGAGCAGTGGTTCTCAACCTGTGGGTCCTGACGCCTTTGGGGGTCAAACGACCCTTTCTTTCCCAGGCGTTGCTTGAGTCCTAACAGTAGCAAAATTACAGTTATGAAATAGCAACGAAAATAATTTTATGGTTGGGGGAGTCACCATAACATGAGGAACTGTATTAAAAAGGGTCGCAGCATTAGGAAGGTTGAGAACCACTGCCCTAGAGGGGCTTAACTTTACTTGCTCCACTGGCCAGGAAGCCCCCACTCCAATCTGTCCAGTGCTCTTCCTCTGGTGCCACAGCTCTCTATCCCTGGGTCCGAGAATCAGTGCACAGGTATCTCGGGCTCCAAAAGACACACTCCGCTCCAGGCTTGTCTCCATTGATGGTAGTGAGATCCTCCTTCCTGTTTCTGAGATGGCTCATTTAAAACCCAGCAGGATGGCAGCCTGCTTGTTCGATTTCTCAGTGTTTGCAACCGCTTAACTATCTCACAGCTGGGTCTGCTGTATCCTCCCACCTGCTAATATCCTCCCTCACTTTCTCTTACACACCATCAGGAAAAAGTGGTTTGGTAGGAGTTAACAAAGACAGTGCCTAGAAGCACCATTTCATGTAAATAATGTACTGCGCTGCACTACACAAACCCAGTGCCAT